GAACTATATTTTAAAAGGGTAAAAAAGACGAACGATGTTTCGCTAAGGCCCTTCGTGCTTTTAATATAGTATAGATAAATAGAGGGATTCTATTCTGTTGTAATTCATCCCAAAATCAATAAGAATTCTCTCTCTACTTTTCTCTGCAATACTTCTCATCTTATTTTAATTTTTTATGATATAACTGATGATTATTATATTATAAAAGTAAAAGTCAGCCCTTAAATGGAAAATCAGAACCGCAGCTTTCCTCATTTTAATTACCCAAATCATACAACGATTTCAACTCAATTTTTCTTTGGTTTTGTGACATATAGCCTAGAAATTATAAAGGAATAAAGACATAAAAAGTGGTGGTGCTCTTGAAGGAATTGATCTATTTTATCTAGCAAATATTAATATTTCACGGACCCAAAATTTAGAAATAATCGAACTTTGTCAAAATATTAGGGAATAAATGTTTACATACCTTAACTCTTCATGCCGGGAACATAATATGACATATAGCCTAAAACTTTAATATCTAAATATGAAGAAAGATTAAACAAATAAAAAGAGGGGGAAGCTGTCCAATATCTTTGGTGTTAAATTTGTATCATAGCGGATATATATAATTGGAATAAGTGTGTCCATGACTTTGGAATAGTATCTAACCAAACCTCAAGGATTATAAAATTCACAGAATGGCTATTTTTTTTATGTAAAATCTACGTGTAGATTACTATAGTGTAAGGTAGATTTAGACTAGTGTACATGGAATTAGATATCTTTTTTATTTTATTTTCAATTATTTGTATTTATTAATAAATCGTTTCATGTATATTAACATTATATTTTCCATAACACATGCACCCTCCATTATTATCTACAGAATTTTGCAACTTGCTTTGGATTTGATGGCAAGCAGGAATATCAACCACATGAACCAGATCGCTAATCTTATTTTTTTTTAATTGATAATGACCCCAAATATATAATTGTGTTTGGGGGGGGGGGGGTTTNGGGGGGGGCTTTCCAAGTCGCAAAGTTCAAGTTTTTGTGTGTTTCTGAGATAATTATTCCCCCCACACCCCAATCTCTGCCAAAGAGAAAGGTGAGGATTTATTTGAGTAAATTAAATAATAATAATAATAATAATAATAATAATAATAATAATAATAATTCTCTTTTAGTTAGTTTCGCAAGATTGATTTATTTTGTGTGATTGAGTTAGCTACTGCAACTACCCGTGGCTTCCACTCACCCAAAACTTAGAAATGATAAATAATTTTTTTTTTATATGCATACATTTGTATGAGCGCGTGTGCGCGACCATAAATTCATTTTAAATAACCTATTTCACAAGTAAATTTCACAAATGCTTATATAACTATGACTTTTCACCAAAATCATATAACTATATTTTCACACAAAAACCACAATTGCTGGAAAACATAACTAATGGATGAAATACCCTTTTACTCTGTATTTTCTATTTTTTATTTTTAGTCTAGTAAGTATTGAAACAATTAAAAGAACCTAGCTTTTTAATAACTCCTCTTAATATGGTAACAACTTTGCATACTGGGTTTCCTCATCTCCATTGATTAATTTCAAGCTTTGCTAATAGGTATTTTAGTTTATAATTCTACATTTTAGGCATTTAGGTAAAGAACATGCTCGTCAGTCGTCCCTCTATCTTACGTTTGATTGAAGTTTTATTGTTGCTTACTTCACCTTTATTTATCTAAATTGTTATTTATAAACTTTTATTTTTTAAAAAAAAAAATTAAGTATGTGAGTCGCAATAGTCTATCTCAAGCCCAAATAATAAAAAAGGAATTGTGCCAACATCCTGCGTAAAAAAGAATAGTTACTACTATTTTAACATGATTTTTGTTACTCTATATATTTGAAATATTCCTGTGTATCTTCAACTTTAGTATTTTTTTTGTTCTTATTTCCTAATGGATATCCTTTTTGTATTTCTTGATTAGGTTGTCTTCTTAATGACAGAATGAAAGTGATATGTGGATGTAAAACACATAAATAATAAAATAAGTACAACTTGGAAAGGTTTTGACAATTGCTATTGGTTCTCCGTGCATAATAATTTACGAATAATTGGTTTGCCGAGACAGAAGGTCACATTCATAATTAATAATGGGATTTTTTCATACCTATATACTATTTGAAACTTCATTACCCTTAATGTTCATGTTTAGCTAATATATACAATCCACCTTAAAAGACTCTCAATTCATTATTTGTGGCTTCAACCAAGGGATTTAGTTACACTCTTTCCTTCTTTCTCTCCTCTCTCCCTTCCTCTCTCCCCTCCTCTCCACATTGCCCCGTGAGACTGTTTGCACAGAGAACCTCACTCCATGGCTAAAGTTGCTTCCTTGCCGAGATAAAGCTGAGCTTTCTGCATTGATGGATAGACCTTGTTGGAAAATTTACCTAGTTTGACCAGATTCTGTTTAATATTGAAGGTCAAAGGGAAAAAGAAAAAAGAAATTACAGCAAGCTATTTTTAAATTCCAATTTGCAGCATCTCAATACTATGACTTACAATAAGGCAATTCATAATTGTTTGAGCTTGAATTAGATCCTACTGGAGCGCACAGCTAAGCTGTATAGTTATTTCTATTGTTTCACTTATTATATTTTGCAAAAAAAAGACAGTAATCAAATTCTCTATGTAAACCGAAAAAGAAAAAAAATGGATGAAATTAAAAATATTTTTACTTAACGTTATGACTATAAGATCCTAGTAATAATATGTACTACTTTATTTATATTCTTTCTTTTTCCGTGAGGAGCTGAGAAAAGTTCTATTTAGAGAATGCGGCAGCGAAACTTATCTATAATTTATCTATAACTTTCATACATTATTTATATCAAGTTATATATAACTATAATATCATACCACTTAAAAAATAATTTTTATACAAATTTTATACAATATGTCTTTTATACATTTTGTATCCGATTTATATATATAGTAAAAACAAATTTCATACAACTAATTATATATTATACAACTTATCCATAACTTTCACACATTATTTCTACCTAGTTATATACAACTACAATATCATACAACTTAAATATAATTTTTATACAATGTTGCTCAACTTTCATACAGTAGTTAAATAAATAAAAATATATATATAAACAACAGAATACAATTTTCTACAGTTTTTCTACAATTTTACTATAATTTCGTAAATATAATGTATATCATGTCTTCTTCTTTCTTCTTCTTCTTCTTCTTCTTCTTCTTCTTCTTCTTCTTCTTCTTCTTCTTCTTCTCCTTTGAGTTTCAATCTGAAATTCAGCCAAAACCACGTCTAATCTTCACCAAAACCCCTCGAAATTAAGATATAAACTCCAAACCATATTCCCAATTGTTTGCAACAATACCCAATCCAAACAAATAATGGTTTTTGAAAATCCAAATTCGAATTCAAAGCTTCAAAGCTTTTTAATGGCTGTCAATGGTGGAATTGCTACTCTCTTTTCCTTTACTTTACAATATTGAACTTAGGGATTGAGAGATAGAGAGAGACGTACAGAGAATTCTCAATTCTTTGCAACAACACCCAATTCAAACAAATAATATTTTTTTAAAACCCAAATTCGAATTCAATGTTTCAAAGCTTTTTAATGGTTGTCATTGGTTGAACCGTGGGTGAGTGCAAGATACGTGGGGGGGAGGGTGGTATGTGGAGAGAGAAATGTGGGGGAGTGAAAGATACGTTAGAGTAATTTTAGGACTCTAATTATTATCATTAATTCCCTTAAAATGTATATAAATTGGGTATATAAAATGTAATTATAGTAAAACTTGAGCAGGGATGGTAATATAGATTCATATTGTGTATAGGAATGTAAAAATTTCATTAATATCATTATATAAATTAAAATAAATTAGTAATATCCTGACGCTTTATATTTCCATTATCTAATATTTGCGTATGTAATTGGAAGAATGAACAACAACAACTCAATAAAATCTCACAAGTGGGGTCTGGGGAGGGTCTGTGTATGCAGACCTTACCCCTACCCTGAAGGGATAGAGAGGCTGTTTCTGAAAGACGCTCGGCCCAAGAATGAGATGATTCAAATTCAAAAGCTCATAACTCTCAATCAACGATGAATTTTTTTCATGTCTTGGGGAGGAAAACTATAATCCTTGAAACTTAGTTTCCAACAATATAATTCAAATGATTCACCATTTAATCAAGTAAGGGAATTTTGATCTTTTCTTGTGGTTTTGCTTGGGTAGGCCTAACCCTATTTCATTCCATTAATACACTTGGAATGTGATTAGGAGCTATAGAGTTATAGGAACTATTTACGATTACTTTAAAAGATGCGAATTCTTACTATCAATTCATGCATTGTCAAAACCTTGTCCGCACGAAGATCGAAGATGTATTGTACAATAATGTTAAAAACAAGTCATTTTATAAATGATTAACAGCCGGCCAATAGACCTTTCTAAAGGAAAAGTCATTTTAATTTAATTTTATAAAAAAATATCCTGCAAAATCCGTGACAGCGGTCTAACACATAAAATCCCCAGATGATTGGATGGACGGCTCAACTATGAAGAAGACTAACATCCAATAAAAATGCTTGACCTTTATCACAAACTGCCTTTTTCACTCCATTTGATATCTGAAGGGCAGTAGGTAAAGAGGATAAGTTTGCTCTCTCTCTCTGTGTGTTTTGATATCTAAAGGGCAGTAGGTAAGAAGGATGTGTGTGTGTGTGTGTGGGAGAGAGAGAGAGAGTGAGAGAGAGGGGGTATTGTATAACAAGATATACAATACCTTTGCTACTATACACAAGTCTCCCAGGGATATGATATTATTTCATATAAAGTAAGATGTAATCCTTTTGTTTAAGATATTTGAGGGTAAATAACCATATTAAACATGTGGCAGTTATAAGATTGACCGGAAGATTACACAGAGAATGCTTGATAAATTTGAACAAAAGACAAGAAGTAAGCCAACATGGGACATGGCCATGTAAATCAAAATATCTCTATGAAAACTGTAATGAAGTTATACCAAACAATATGTATAATCAGATTCATTCCTCAACATGTCCTAATGGAACACAAAAGATGGACTGATTAGTTCTCCAATGAGGTAAATGCAGAAGCAGTTCCTTCTGTAACTTAAAAACATAACATTCCCATTCAGGAACTGCAGCTGAAAAAGTAAGCCAGTCAAATCCATAATCCATTACCTTGATGGGTCTCGAATTTCCAAAGAAACCTTCCGCCAGTTGAAGATCCTTCAGAAACGCAGATCTAAGATGACCTATTTCTGTTTTTTGATTCGAGGAAATTGGAATTACATTTGGAGTTGGAGTTGGAGTTGGAGTTGGAGTTGATCCTTCGACTTTTGTCTTTAAACTGGAGAACTTCCAATGATAGAACTGCACCAACTATCGCACAAAGAAGTTGAATGTAAAATAGACCCACCAATTCATCAAAGACTAGTATATATGCTTTTTGATAACGAATACTAAGTCTATATGCTTCAAAGATTGACCACTCATTTTCTTCTGTTTTAGTATGTGAATCAGTATGCTAAGATGACAAAGAAGGCATTTGATATTCTGGTCGTGACATTCGGTTTAAACTTGGAAACTTCTAACTTCAAAAATCTTCCCTATCAGGACAAAGAACTGATGCAAAATTCAGTAAGGTGCTTGCTCTTTTTCATGTTTCACTTTGTCTACTGGATTGAGAAGGAGGAAGAATGACTAAACAGCTAGATATTTCATAAAGTTCACACCAGATTAGGAATATTTATGATCTCCAATGATATAATATTGAAAACCCCATAATAATCTTTTCGAGGATAAGATTAAAGGGAGGTACCTGAAGTGCATGCATTATATTAAGAAATTGGGTCTCAAACAACTCGTTTTCTCGTGCTAAAAGTAGTGGCCCTGACAGTAACTCAAAGTTGTAAGATGAATCTGATGCTGATAAATGGCTAGTCTTTTGAAATTGATGGATATCAAATCCAAGAACATGCAATCTGCCGCAGCGAATATCAAATCCGGACAAGAAACTTGAAGCTTCATCAGGTGGAAACCAGTACATATTGATGGATCCTGGCACGGGCAAATACGAAAGCAACTTTCTATCCCCAACACCCAATAAAGCTCGTGAGAGAGATGAGATGAGTTTAGAATCTTCATCATGAGACACATCACGGCTGAACCACAGAGTAAGTGTAATTCGCTCCCCTTCAGTAATCTGTATGGAAGAATCAGTGAATTAGAGAAAAGAGCTAAGAAGAAAGAAAACAGGGAAACCGAATCCTACTAACATTTTAGGCTGAAGATAAACATCTCATATTTTAGATATTAACAAGAGAGCTAGTATGGGACAGGGCATAAGAGGATGAATATTCTTAAAGTTAATGAGAGATTCATTCAGACGATTCAATCTGAGAGAACGTTGATCTAGTTACAATAAATATGGAAAATGAAATGTCCATATCATCTAAAGAAATGATCAGTGCACACTCTGGAGTTGTTTCCCGACCAAGCTAACTTATTGACCATGTATGACATGATCTCAGATTCTGCAGAGCAAGAGCATCATCTATCTTGGCTCTGTGGCATCACAGACTAAACAGGATTTCTTTAAGTTAAAAAATTTGTCTATGTAATTTGTTACACACTCCTATAAATACCACGCAGCCACAAGTTAAACCAGTTGCTTCTTGATGGTAGACTAGAAACCCGTGTTTTACACTCTAATTAATGCACTTTATGTGTGTTTGAGCTTAAATGATAGTGAATTCCACTTATTACGTGTTTTATGTCTTGCAGGAAGTGATTCCAAGTTAAAAAGTTAATTTGGAGCTTTGAAGTCTGAGTAAAGCGGATGTCAGACGAGTGGAGGTGGAGTACGGTGGTCCCATTGTACAAGAACAAAGGTGATATCCAGAGTTGTAATAATTATAGGGGTATCAAATTACTGAGTCATACCATGAAAGTATGGGAGAGGGTCGTTGAAGCAAGGGTGAGGATGACA